CAAATAGGGTGATTCTCCTTAGCGGGACACAGACAGCATTAAACATCTAACAGGTGTTCTGATATATCTCCACTCTATCCAAAACAAAAAAAAAAGTTTTGCCTTTAGTTATACCTTAGTTAGCCTATTTTAGATAGAGAAAAAGTGCAATTTGGCAGATATAACATACTTCATTTTCATTCTCTGTGGTATGAGAGTTGACAGCGTGGTCCCTGGTCAGATGTAATACATTGTAGCTGACTGGTGTCCCTAGATTTAGTAAAAGATCTAACGTGTTTTCAACGTACAGCTCTCCTTTTGAGACGTTTGGCACAGGGAAGAAGAAAAAAAAAACATTTTTATAAATAATTTAAAAACATTTGTGTTTATATTAACTTTTTATTTTTTTTATTATTATTATTCAGGATTTATATAGTGCCAACAGTTTGCGCAGCACTTTACAATATAAAGGGAGACAATACAATTCAATACAAGAGGGTTAGGAGGACCCTGCTCCTGGGAGCTTAAAATCTAATAGGGTGGGACAAGTGGAACAAAAGGTAATAACTGTGAGGGATGAACTGATGAGAGAAATAAAAGATTCAGTTGTTAGCTGAAGGCAGTGATTTATTTAGGTTTTATTTTTGCATTCCATCTTTGAAACCAGCAAAAAAAAAGGGGTTCACAGGACAATTTTGGTTTAGTTTCTTCTATCTTTGAGGGATCATTGATTGCACACTGTGAGAGACTTCTATCAAAGTACTGTTTCTCGGAAGGTCAGTCAGCTATTATTCACATTGATGCGAAATGCTATTTAATCTTCATGTTTCAGGCCTTGTTGAAACTGTCACCAGGTTCCTAAGTCAGGATAACCTCTTTCATAAGTACATGTACCTATCCAGATCACTAGACACTGTGGTATTACAGTTGGTCTGTGTGAAGAGTTACTTATTGCTCATAGTGGGCCAATTGTCTTCTGATATTTTCTGCAACCAAATGTATTGGCTTACATTGAGTTAAGTCCAGTGATGTATATGCCACCTCTTGGATTTGTCTTTTATTTGCAGCCTTTGCTGAGCACTGACAGTTTAGCTATTGCTATACATCTGACACTGACAGAAGAGTTTTGGCTGCTGTGTGACTGCCTGCCCCTTCTCTCAACTGTCCATTCACAAAAGGCATAATACAAAACAATTTGTGATTGGGTGAGAGAAGAGGAGGGGCGGGCATTTGCTTGGGAAACCAGAAGGTCCAGTGTGAGAGCACAGATATATACAGTGGGGATCGAAAGTTTGGGCACCCCAGCTAAAAATTTGTATTAATGTGCATAAAGAAGCCAAGGAAAGATGGAAAAATCTCCAAAAGGCATCAAATTACAGATTAGACATTCTTATAATATGTCAACAAAAGTTAGATTTTATTTCCATCATTTACACTTTCAAAATAACAGAAAACAAAAAAATGGCGTCTGCAAAAGTTTGGGCACCCTGCAGAATTTATAGCATGCTCTGCCCCCTTTGCCAAGCTGAGACCTGCCAGTGTCATGGATTGTTCTCAATCATCATCTGGGAAGACCAGGTGATGTCAATCTCAAAGGTTTTAAATGCCCAGACTCATCTGACCTTGCCCCAACAATCAGCACCATGGGTTCTTCTAAGCAGTTGTCTAGAAAACTAAAACTGAAAATAGTTGACGCTCACAAAGCTGGAGAAGGCTATAAGAAGATAGCAAAGCGTTTTCAGATGTCAATATCCTCTGTTCGGAATGTAATTAAGAAATGGCAGTCATCAGGAACAGTGGAAGTTAAAGCAAGTTCTGGAAGACCAAGAAAAATATCAGACAGAACAGCTCGCAGGATTATGAGAAAAACAATTAAAAACCCACGTTTGACTGCACGATCCCTCTAGAAAGATCTGGCAGACACTGGAGTTGTGGTACACTATTCCACTATAAAGAGATACTTGTACAAATATGGTCTTCATGGAAGAGTCATCAGAAGAAAACCTCTTCTACGTCCTCACCACAAAAATCATCGTTTGAACTTTGCAAATGAACATATAGACAAGCCTGATGCATTTTGGAAACAAGTTCTGTGGACCGATGAGGTTTAAAATTGAACTTTTTGGCCGGAATGAGCAAAGGTACGTTTGGAGAAGAAGGGGCACAGAATTTAATGAAAAGAACCTCTGTCCAACTGTTAAGCATGGGGTTGGATCAATCATGCTTTGGGGTTGTGTTGCAGCCAGTGGCACAGGGAACATCTCACGAGTAGAAGGAAAAATAGATTCAATAAAATTTCAGCAAATTTTGGATGGTAACTTGATGCCATCTGTGAAAAAGCTGAAGTTAAAGAGAGAATGGCTTCTACAAATGGATAATGATCCTAAACACACCTCGAAATCCACGGGGGATTACATCAAGAGGCGTAAACTGAAGGTTTTGCCATGGCCTTCACAATCTCCTGACCTCAACATAATTGAAAATCTATGGATAAACCTTAAAAGAGCAGTGCGTGACAGACAGCCCAGAAATCTCAAAGAACTGGAAGACTTTTGTAAGGAAGAATGGGCAAAGATACCTCAAACAAGAATTGAAAGACTCTTGGCTGGCTACAAAAAGCGTTTACAAGCTGTGATACTTGCCAAAGGGGGCAGTACAAGATATTAACTCTGCAGGGTGCCCAAACTTTTGCAGACGCCATTTTTTTGTTTTCTGTTATTTTGAAAGTGTAAATGAAGGAAATAAAATCTAACTTTTGTTGACATATTATAAGAATGTCTAATCCAGGGGTGGGCAAACTTTTTGACTTGAGGGCCGCAATGGGTTCATATATTGGACCCGGAGGCCGGACCAAGAGTAGATGAATGATGTGTATGTGTCATCCATAGTAAGTATAGTAATATTCCCCCATAGTAAGCATAGTAATTCATCCCCCATAGTAATTCATCCCCCATATAGTAATTCATCCCCCATATAGTAATTCATCCCCCATATAGTAATTCATCCCCCATATAGTAATTCATTCCCCCCTATAGTAATTCATTCCCCCCTATAGTAATTCATCCCCCATATTAATTCATCCCCCATATTAAGTCCCCCCTGTGTCAATTCACTTACCTTTGCTCCGCATGTTCCTCTCGTCGTGTTCCCGCGCCGTTTCGGTGTAGCATGAAAATCTGTCTCCTGTGAGGATCTGTCCCCCTCGACGTATCTGCGCATGTGCCAGTTTCAGGCATTAGCAGCCGATCGGCGATCTCCGGCACATGCGCACATACGTCGAGGGGGACAGATCCTCATAGGAGACAGATTTTCATGCTACACCGGTCTTCAGGGCGGACTGTGAGAGGAGCCTAGCGGGAGCCTAGCTCCGCGGGCCGGATTAAAAGGTCCGCTGGGCCGTATACGGCCCGCGGGCCTTAGTTTTGCCTATTGCTGGTCTAATCTGTAATATGATGCCTTTTGGAGATTTTTTCCATCTTTCCTTGGCTTCTTTATGCACATTAATACCAATTTTTAGCTGGGGTGCCCAAACTTTCGATCCCCACTGTATATACGGTCAGCACTCAGTAAAACTGGAAATAAAGGAGAGAAAGCCATAAGACACCATATGTCTCATTGGACTTGACCCATTGTTAGCCAGCAATTTCTGGAGTTCTTCTTTAAATATTTACAAACCACTAGCTGCACATCAGGGATGACCCTTTGTCTGGGCTAACCTACATTCTGTAGCTGCTGACTTTTACTTAAAGGACACTTGCCTGCGCAGAGATGCAGCACCATCCTCATCCTGGCTGGTTTTTTGCAGGCATTCAGTTCCCTGGCATGTTTACTGTGGGAAGCCGAATGTGACTCTTTGCAGCTTTACAGCTGGCTCCCCACTCTGCATGTACAAGCAGCGTTGGGCTGTGTGAATGGTCCTGCAGCCTCCTGGGACATGTCCCAGGAGATTGCAGGCAGCAGTTGACCAGGGGTTAGAGGAAAACATCTGGTGGAATCACCTAGGCAATGGAGCAGGTACCTGACAAAACTAGGTCGGGTACATGCTCACCCCCCCCACAAAAATTTTTCCAAAAGTGGTGGTTGGACATAAAGCAGAACCTCCCTGTTTAGGGTGAAGTTCCGCTTTAAGGCGACTTTTCCCTCAAATTGAAGTGTAAGGCTCAGCCAAAGTAAGTAAAAGAGAGTAACGAGATATACAGCTTTCAGAAGTAAAAACGCATATTTATAATATAAGACCGAATATTCATATTATTGCATAAACCTAGTCATGGGTTCTCTTCAACATCTTTTTTTTTTTTTTTCACTTTTCTTCATAAGGTCACATATGTGACATGTAGGACCCCTATTTTAAAGTGAACGTTTTCTTTGCTCATACAGGGTAAAGTAAAAGGTTCAGCAGTTAACCTTGCACTCTTTCCTTGTTTCATGCTGTTCAGCTGTGGTGGGGGAGGGGGGGGGGGGTGAAGTGGGGAAAATAAATCCACGTGTAAGGTGCAAACCACCTTGCCAGTGCCTACACGTGAGCTTTGGGCCAACCGTGTGGTACTGGCAACATCAAATGATAGGGTTGAGAGTCGCATGCTCACCCATACCCAGAATTTTCATGCATTTCAATGTCTTCCCATGATGGGTCAGCAAAGGGAAGAGGACTATATGCTGCTGAGGAGGAGGGGGCTAAGTGAACCTTTTACTTGTCCCTATATGGACACAGCACAGTGAACAAAATTCATATACGTTCACAAAGAGAGTGAAAATTGTTCTTCTTTTTTCAGAAATACTTAATAGTCATTCCCCCTGTTGTTTTGTTACTCTGCTTATGCTTTAAAATCATAAACCGGTTAATATTATTATTATGTGCTTTATTTAATAGAACTGTAATGTTATCTCTTTTGTAGGACACAGAGTTTCCAGGAGTAGTTGCGAGACCAATCGGAGAGTTCAGGAGCAACGCTGACTATCAGTACCAACTTTTACGCTGCAATGTGGATTTACTGAAGATAATTCAGCTGGGGTTAACATTTATGAATGAGCAAGGCGAATACCCACCAGGAACCTCAACATGGCAATTTAATTTTAAATTTAATTTAACGTAAGTGCCTTCGTTACATACGTAGTTCTTCATGTCCAAATGTACTGTGGACTGTTGCAGAATTGGAGGTGCTTTGCTTAGTAAACAAGTGGAAGCTGTGTTCCCTGTGAATACCCTATCAATGTGGAAATTGAAACAAACAGGATTTTTGTCTGCATGGTAGTAATGAATTCATGCACTGGCAAGGATTTTTTTAATATGAGTACAAACTTAATCTAAACCTACCACAAACTTGGGTAAGTTATACTGCACATAAGATGTTAAAATGTATATACAGTTTACCTTTAGTGAATTTGGTGCGCATAAAGTGGATTTATATCCTTTTGTAGCTGTTGCGGAATATTTAAAAATGAAAATGTCAACACTTGCTGCCTCTGAGTGAGAAGGTTAAGTGCAAGTCTTGGCTTGACTGTGTTTTTCTCTGCAGGGAAGATATGTATGCACAAGATTCCATAGAGCTGCTCACCTCATCTGGGATCCAGTTTAAGAAACACGAGGAAGAGGGCATTGAAACTCACTATTTTGCAGAGTTGTTCATGACCTCTGGAGTGGTGCTTTGTGAAGGAGTAAAATGGCTTTCTTTCCACAGGTATGTGACAGGAGTGTTAAACCAAAGTATTCCTTACACCAGGGCTAGGAAACCTTAAAGAGGTGGAGATCTACCTGAACAAACATGGGAGAAGTCAAAGATCACCGGACACAGTGACGCCACCTCACACCTGATTGAAACCAATAATTGATGTACTACTGTGTCACAATCACGTGCATTGCACGGCAATCATGGGTTTAAATCAAGAGGTGAGGAGGCAACATATCACCTCCTCACCACCTTGTAAACACACTTGAATTGCTTTTCTTTTTTTTTTTTGGAAAAATCTTTATTTTTACAAAAGTCAATACAGATTGGATTGCTTTTCAGAGTACCAATCGTCCCATCTGCACTTGTGAATGAGCCCTTAGTTGCATCCATTAGTGTTACTCTTAGAACTTATTCTCATGTAAAGTTGGGTGGTGGTAAAACCCTGTGGTTGAGTCACAGTTTTACCGCCCACGTTCCCTACCTTTTTTAGCTGCTGAGGCAGCAGCCGAAGGTGTAAACATGCCGCAGTAGGAATTACATTCCCTGTTGTATTTGGTGGGTGCTACAGCCTGTCAGTCAAGACCCATTCAAGTAAATGGGGCCACTCAAGGCTGCGCAAGGTTGCAGGGCACTTGCAGAGCAGCCTCATTCACTTGAATGGGTCATGCTTGGCAGGTGCTACACCCACCAACCATGATGGGGCGTAGGAGCCAACACTACAGAGGAGACGTCAGCTTATGCAGCTCTTGCTCCCTACTACAGCTCCAACTTTATAAGTAGTCCCTCTGCTTTGCACTCTGATGCTCTGGGATAGCGGGCCAACAATCCCAGACAGTGATCTACCAGTCACCTTGCTGAAATCTACTGGTTGCTGACCCCCGCCTTTCATATCTCTTTATTCAGGCTTTTATTGGTGATGCACAGGGATTAAAGATCTGGGTATTAGAAGATATTCTCAATATACTTTTTGCAAGTTGGTAAGGTAGTACCATTTACATTGAAATACAGGAATTTTATTTGAAAACTATCTGCTCAGTCAGAGGTCCCTCTGTCCCTGTCCATTATAATGGAATATTAGGGCACTGACACCTCTTTTAGGTTGTTAAAAACTGGACTGCTTATTATCTTCTCTACTGTTGCAATGAACCATAGATATATTGGTTACATTTAGTGGGTTTACTATTGTCTCCTTTTAAAAGCATATATTTTATTTTTTTCTCTTTTAAGACAAATCTGTTTTCATGTCCCCCTCCTCAGCAGCATAGTCCCCCTTTCCTTTATTCCCCCACATGTCTGTTAAGTCATTGGGAGCAAAGCAAATAGCCATTACCTGCAGCAAGTGAATTTGAAGCATGTAACAGCAGTGATTGCCCTGTCCCTGTCACATAGGGTTCTAAGCCGTGTGGGAACCAGCAGGTGCACTTTGGTAACCAGGTAACAGGTTCAATTTATGGATCACTGTAACTTAGAGGGTAAAATTTAGGACCTACTATAGCTAAAATATGCAGGTAACTATGTAGTAAATGACTGCAAAGTGAAAATGATATAATACTGTTGGGGGTGGCTTTGGTTTAAAGTGGTTGCACAAGCAGAATGTTTTTAATCTCAATGCATTCTCTGCATTAAAGTGTTACTAAACCCACAACAGTAAAATCAGTCTGTATATGCTGTAAAGCATGCTTGTTATACTCACTGTGGAACCTAAGGGGTTATTCATCTGCATTGTATAAAAAGGCTGTCTGATCCTGTCTCCTCTGATCCTCCCCTCCTTTTACTTTCCCCAATCCATCTGCCATAGTACAGAGCAGCAGTGGCAAGTCTGCATATGCTCTGTTTGGTGTGCATTGCTAGAGTTTTTTTTTGTTTGTTTTTTTTTTTTGGAGGGTGCATGTGATCAGCAAAGGGCCAATCAATGCTGTCCGGACAGAGGGTCAGGGGTCATGCAGCCTCATAAAACAGTCAGAAGAGAATGAAAACTCCTCCTACAAGATTAACTAGTGCTCGGCCTAACACTGATAGAAGTCACAAGACTGCTCTAACTGCTGAAGAGAAAAGGTATTTAGCAATTTATAGTTACTAAAATAATTGCATGATTATGCTCTGCATACTTGTGGGAGACCAGATATAGTGAATGCAGGGTCCTGTGTTTTAAAGGTTCAAAAAAAACCTTCTGCATGCAGCTATCCCCCCCCCCCCCCCCCCCCCCCCCCCCCTCTTAATCTAACCTGAGCCTGATCTCACTGCAGCAGAGCACTGTGCCCAAGAGCAGCTGTTCTCTCTTATCTCTCCCTCTCCTCACTGGGCAGTGAGGCAGCTGCTAGAGTCATTGGCTCCTGCTGCTGTCAGTCACAGCTAGTGAATAGAGGGTAGGACAAAGCCACACTCTGTGCTTCAATGAACACGGAGGCGGCTCGAGATTGAGCCCACACGAGCGCCCCTGTAGCAAGTGGCTTGCTATGGGGGGCACTGGGCAGGAGAGATGAGTCAGGAGTGCTAGAGGAGGACCCCAAAAGAGTAGGATTTGGGCTGCTATGTGCAGCACCATGGCACAGTGCTGGTAAGCATGACATGTTTGTTAAAAAAAAAATAGGTTTACAATCACTTTAAACCTGCTTTCCAAATGGCAAAAACAATTGCTCTAAATGTGTAAGATGTGTTGGTGGGAATTAAAGTGTTACTAAACCCACAAAAGTAAAATCAGTCTGTATATGCAGTAAAGCATGCTTCATATAATCACTGTGGAACCTAAGGGGTTAATCCTCTGCATTGTGTAAAAATGCTGTTTGATCCTGACTTCTCTGATCCTCCTCTTGTTCAAATGTCCAGTGTCTCCCTCTTATCTTCTGAAAAGACATCGTGTAGAGACACTCTGCACATGCTCAGTTTGGTGTGTAATGCTAGAGAGGGGTTTTTTTTTTGGGGGGGGAGTGCATGTGATCAGCACAAGGTCAATCAGCGCTGTCCAGATAGATATCAGGGCTTCTACATCCTCCTAGAGCAGAAAGAAAACTCCTCCAACAAGCTTTAACATGTGCTCTGCTGGACACTGACAGAAGTCACAAGACTGCTGTAACTGCTGATGAGAAAAGGTATTTTGCAGTTTATATTTACTAAAATAATTGCATTTCCATGTAATGTGTACTGTGGGAGACCAGATATAGTGAATGCAGGGTCCAGGGTTTAGTAACTCTTTAAGCTTTATTGTATGTTGTTTAAAACCACATAGCTAACTAAGGCTACCCTGGCCACAGGGTGGCAAGGCTTCAGTGATTTCACTTGAATAATGAATAATTGTCATTCTATTAAAGGAATAGGAAACCAAAATTCTTTCGTGCTAGTGACAGAATGTGTCGTGTGTAATATTGGCTTTTTCCCCATAGCTCTATTTTAAGCTATGGTCCTCCATAGCTATGGATGGAGTCTGTCTGGCTTTGCAGGTTGCCAAAAAAAATTGCATCTATACACTGGGTGCCAAAGTTCAGCCTCCTTGGGGTGTGAGGAGGCTGAATGGTAATGGTTCCACTCCTCCATACTGCATTGTGAAAGACTTTCACAAGAAGGCAGATGGGTCCCTTAGAAACATGTTGCTTCCCTAGTTGTTAGCATAATACCGTTAGGTGAAAACCCAGAGCTTACTCAAGTCAGGTCTAACATTTTCAGCCTACATAAACCAATTTAATGTTATTTTATAGCGTAGTGACCTGGCCAACATTCCCATTTCTCAAGAGGAGAAGCAGAGGTAATAATCAAACATGCAATGCTTTTTCTCATTGTACAGATAGAATAGTATTCAGAAGTGGGTCTTGGGGTGACTGAGGATGTACTGATGTTTCCAAAGAGACCTCTGTCTATCTATGTCATCATTTGTCCCCAGTCTTCAAATAACCTCATTTTTAATCCCTAATTAATGGCAAAAGTGTTTTAATTTGGTGATGACCTTACTTTGTGTGCCTTTTTTATGCCTTTGTAAAAAGGTGTGACTTTCATCTGTGTGACAGCAGTACAGAACATTGGATTGCAGAGTCTCCTGTGATTCTTTGATAATCTGCTCATGACTTTCCAGCCTGAGCTGTGGGAAAGTTAATGAACAGAGTAGCTGTGTCATGGCTAAGAAAAGGGAATGGATCAAGAGAATTTAGACCGTAATCATGTAATCCCCATGAAGAACAGCAGCTTCTCTTGTACAACAGTGTTCTTATGACAACTATAGGAACTTTCTATGAAGTCTCAATATTGCTGATAATTTCAGTTTCCTCTAATTTGTGCTGCTTGCTCCAGTGAGGTTAGTTTCCAGCTTCTTACTTTCCAGCTACATTTTATTTGAGTGTTAATGGATTTGACTGGTATCGTCCTGTACTAATCTGGATCATCGACAAATTACAAAACCAAAAGTCTGTAATCCTTCTGATTACACGTGTATACTAAGACCATGTGACTTTGGACTGCACAGTGCATACCATGCAGGTAATGTGTTAGTGAATAAACACTGTATGGAGCAATTTATTTTCGACAGGGCATAAAACTAGTTTATTCTTCTGTCCAGATGGCACTCCATTTTTTGCCAGACTATATGAGGGAGATTTACTAAAACTGGATCACTGAGAATCTGGTGCAGCTCTGCGTGATAGCCAATCAGCTTCTAACTTCAGCTTGTTCAATTAAACTTTGACAATAAAACCTGGACACTGATTGGTTTCTATATACAGCTGCACTAGATCTTGCACGCTTCAGTTTTAGTAAATCCCCCCTATGTATCTGCTCTGTCGAAAGAAACCTGTTATTTCCAGTGTTCTATAGCTCAAGCTCTAATTCACAATGAAGTTACTCCTTTGCCCCCCAAACCCTCCACTACCCTCGGTGTCCTAGTCTAACAATGGGGCTCGTCATCCTGCTATTGCTTGAAAGATGTTGTAGACTAAAGATGCAAATATTCCCATGCAGAAACAAGTTGCTGTACAGTTATCCAAGAGTTGAGATTTTACGAGTCGGCAATGCAGTTAAAATCTGTAATGACTGCTGAGAATCTTCTGGACCTGCAAGGGAGGTTCTTCCTGTTTTATTAGGAAATCTTTTTCAAGTTTTAAACCAATTATATATTCTGACTTAAAGCCGCCTGGCACATTTTTAGCTTTCATTTAATATAAAGCAGGTAAAGCAATAAAAGATCATTTGTTTATAGTGGCTAATGCACTTTGCACATTTGTACCGTTCTGTAATAATGACCAATTGCATGAAATACTATGATCGGAGTTCTGGGTGAGCAGGAATTTATTAACCAGGCTTTCCACACAATAATTTGCATTGTTGCCCACATGGCCTAACAAAGGTGCCAGCTAAATTTCCAGTTATTTAATTCAGCAATATGGACAATCAATGGTGATGCCATAATTTGGTTTTGGAGTAGTTGTGGGATTTGGTCAGAACTGGGAATGTGGACTATATCAGTGCATGTTATTTTATTTTTTAAACTGTAGAGGAAGAGGTACTGTTTTTAATTTGTACCTGTCCCATCACCTGTACCTCCCAGACCTTGCTCTGTTTCTGAGTGTCAGCCAGAGAATCTTCAGCATCTAGAGGTTTCCAGGAGGGTTGGATGCTGGGTTCCTTGCTATGCTGCTCCAGCTGCTGCATCATTACAGGGCAAAATCAGTATTATTCGGTTTACAGGAGGATTTTTTTTGTAACAGAGTTTCTGCAAATCTATGAATACAATATTTCCAAATATCACTCCTAAAAGTGACTGTTTTGATATTTTTAGTTGTTGCTTAGAGAAAAGATTTGTTGTCTTTTCAATCCTTTTTTTTTGGGGGGGGGAGGAGAAGAATGAAACTATTGGTTTAAGCTTTTAATATGATCAGGAGAAAGGTAATAATAAGATTGTCTGGGGAAGAGTTTGGCATTTGCAAATATGTAAAATAGATGAGCTGTGTGTGTGTGGTTTAGATTACAGCATACCAATTCCTTATTTGGACTGCTTTTCACTGATGGTTCCTTAATCAGGCCATATGCACCTCAAGACATTGTATCTCTTTCATGTGACTGTAAAGAATACAAATGCACTTTGGGTAGAGTTCCACATGTTGCATAAACAGTACAGTGTGTCAAAATGTATCTAAAATTCATGATATGTACAATGAACCTATTCTGTCCTTTCAGAATAATGATGTAATCTTTCATGTTTTCTCTCATTTCTATTACAGTGGCTATGATTTTGGCTATCTAATAAAGATACTGACAAATTCAAACTTGCCTGAGGTTGAGTTGGACTTCTTTGAAATTCTTCGGCTATTTTTTCCAGTGATATATGATGTCAAATATCTCATGAAAAGCTGCAAAAACCTTAAGGTACGTACTACTCAAGTGAAACTCATGAGACAGGAAGCTGATGTGATTGGAGATATATTATTTTTTTTTTTTTTTTACAGTCATTTAAATTAAATGCAGAAAAATCTCAGTTGAGACACTATGTAAAAGTACATAAAAAGGCTGTACCTGAAATAGATTGTTGTATTAGTCTAAGAAGGGATAGAAACTAAAGCCGGCCCTAGATGAATCGAAAATTGAAAGTTCTGTCAATCAGAAAATGAAAATGGCTCACAAGATTGTGCCATCACCCAGCATGTTGGATCAAGCACTTTTGACCGCAGCATGAAAATCACGTGTCGCAGTTGGCACACTAATTATGCAAAAAAACAAACCATTTGAAGATTGACATGAATTTTGTTCAGTTTTCAACTTGTCTGTTTTTTTTTGGCGTTTTACCTTTTAACCATTTCAGCTATCACATTTGTATGCCTCTATAAACGAGAGCAATTTTTTGGCATATTGATTCATCAATAACTTTTTCTTTACTTAACAACAGATTTCAAACTCATGAAACAGGAACCTGATGATGATTTTATTTTCTTTTTGCAATCTACTTTATAGACAAACCTTTTTACAAAGCACTGCAAAGTTATATTTACAGAATTACAGCTGAATTTTGAATATCAATGGCTAGAAAAATATAATTTAAAAAAATCAGCAGGAAACTAAAAGTAAATCAATCCCATTGTATTCTAAAGCGGAGACTTTGCATTTTCCACAAGTATGTTTGACAGAAGTCGATTGTTAGGTCGATTCTGTTTAGCTGCAGCAGCCACACATTAAAGCGGTAGTAAACCTGATAATTCCCCCCCAAAAAAAAAGAACTGTTCCCCTGCAAGGCAATGTCATAATGTGCTAGTATGCACTGCATACTAGCACATTATGTGAAGCTTACCTCCAGCTGCACGCAGTCACCGTTGTCAGGCTTCCATCTTTGCTTGAGTGGCTGAGCCGCGATGTCACTTCCACGCCTTTATGTGGGAGTAACTTTTTACGGCATGCAGCTCTGAAGGAACTGCACGGGCATGCGGTTCCTTCAGAGCGAATGCGCCGGTGCTGCTACACAAGTAAATATCTCCTAAATGGTGCACTCTAGATATTTACAGTACCTACAGGTAAGCTGCCTTATAGGCTTATCTGTAGGTACAAGTAAAAAAAAAAAAACCAAAAAACAGACTTTGCTGACCCTTTAATTATACAGAACACTGTAGGTCAAGTACCACCTGAATTCGACATTGCATTCTAGTCAGAGCTCAGCATAACAATGAGAGGTTCATGAAATCATAGATGCATAATTTAGGTTTTTTTTTCCTTGTCTGGTAAAATGACTTTGAAAGGTGTGCCCACATGAAAAGATACGCATCTGATTTGAAGCTACATAGACAGGCACTTCTGTAGGTGAAATGCTGTGGTCAGTGGAAGATTAACTGTTCTGCATTGCAGCATGATTTAACCTGATTTACAGGTCCAATGTTCCAACAGGAGAAAAATGTCCTAAAATAAATTCTTTATTGCCATCTAGTTTTGTTGCTAATTGGTTCCTACTGACATGAATTAAGAGTTGCACAGCCAATAACTGCTGTGCATAGGTAGAGCTTCACTGGTTTGTAGTCCTGATATAAATCCAGAACATTTAATTTCATGCAACTTTCTCATCATGTGTCAGCTCCAATTTCCACCCCATTTTTTTTTTTAAGCTCTGGTATACATTTTTTATAGCCTTGACTGGTTTTCTTCTTGTCAGCATGTTCAAAGGGGGGAAAAAACTGAACTTGTAATAAAATCTGTTCAGCAGTAAAAAAAAAAAAAAAAAAAAAAACATGAAGGATCTACAGCAGTGTGTTCTCTTCATTAGGGTGGACTGCAAGAAGTGGCTGAACAGCTGGAGCTGGAGCGGATAGGACCTCAGCACCAAGCAGGCTCAGACTCTTTATTGACAGGAATGGCATTCTTCAAAATGAGAGAAGTAAGACACATAGTGAATAGATTGGGAAAAATACTGTAAAAAGCTGTACAGTGTTCAGTGATTGTTACAGTTTGACTGAAATTTAAAGAAACCACCTTTAACCCAGGTTTCCCAACCTCTTTTATAGCTGATTTTCTGTAGAATCCTGCCTATTTGCAAATATTGTTTTACTTTTTCTTCAGCTGGGTACACATGGATCAAAATTCGGCCGGTCCAGCTGAATTATGATCTGTGTGCCGCCCTCATGCTTTGACAGAAGCCGAATATTGGATTGACTTCTGTTAAACGGGACTGTTGAAACACCTTGTTCGATCAGCGGCTTGTAGCCAATGTTGCTGTGCTGACCAGTGTGTTCTGACAGCAAAGAATCCTTGCCGTTAGAGTACAATATCCCTATTGGGGAGGGGGGGGGAGGGTTCTTCCATCCACATTGCTTGACCGTTTTATTTTTCAGTCAAAACAAAAAACAAAAAAAAAACTGCGGACCGTGTGTACCCAACTTTAAACTGCAAGTTTGAGGCTGATTAGACTTCTGCCTTTCTAGGAAACTTAATATCAAGTGCTGTAGTGCACTACTTCAGTGTTTGCCATGTGACTACCCAGTCACTACCCAGTCACTGGCATACACAAGGTGGAGGGTGGGTGTAGTTTACACTCTAATGGAGCAGAGAATTTATTTCTGTATCATTAATTAAAAGAATGAAGACACAATCATTTTGGTTTTTCTTTTTCAGAAAAACAGGGCAAACTTTATTAGAAGTAAAAGAATAGAGCATTTGCAAGCAAATAACTTTACTGCTGAACTATAACAACTTCATATTTATGAAAAGGCCATTATGTCAACATATTTTTAATTCAGTTCAGTCCGTGTCCCTTTAAATAGCCAGACTGTCATCTAGCAGATTTTAAATAGGTGCAATGCTGATTAGATTCATCCTATGGTCCTGCCTAATCGCCCAACTACAGCACCCAGAGCCAGAAACATGTTGTGATAACAGCATTGTGCAGACAAATTAGGTCTGAATGATTCATGGTGCCAATACTTCCCTTCTGGAAAAAACTAACCCAGAACTTATAGCCAGCACAACGCTATTTGAATATGACTATATTGGTAGCTGAAAGATATATCGTTAGAGAGCATGTAAACCCACCATTTCATATTCCTGATATGTGCTTGCTGTACCATGTGCTTGTATGAAAACGTATCCTCTTCTCTTTGTATTGTTTCCTTTTTGTGAAATCCTTGGTGTCCGGCCAGTTCCTCTTCTTTCCTTTTAAAAACCGACTACACTAGGCACAGCATGGTCAGTTCCCTAGCTATGCTGGGAACTCAGTGTGCTCTCCTTCAATGATCAGACTTCTGCTTACACACAGCTGCAGGCTCAGCAATGTAAATAAATGTCACAAACCTGCTTCCAGGTCTGGGATGATATGTGCTGCTTTTACTAAGAGATTTGGCTGCTTTTCTCCCTGCTTTGCAGAGAAAAGAAACAGGGAGATATCTGCTCTATGTACAGAGCCCTGTGTTGGTTGTTTGTAAGCGCAGGGCTCTGTGCTGTGATTGGACACAGCCGATCAGTAGGTCACAGCCACAAATCATTGGCTGTGACCTACTGAAAAAAATTCTGCTTTCTCCAACCACAGCGCAGGTCTAACTTTTTTGGCCTAACTTTATGAAGAAATTTGATTTCATTGATTTTTTTTTTTTTTTTTTATTGGATATGTTTTATAACAGAAATTAGAAAATATATTTTTTCTTCAAAATTTCAAAATGTTTGATCTTTTTTTTTCGTTTATTCAATAGAAAATAAAAAACCCAGTGGTGGTCAAATACCAAAAGAAAACTCTATATCCACTGCTATGCAGGGACATGAATGAAGTCTCAATTCATGTGACATTTCAAATAATGTTAACAAGAACAAAGTAAAAACACTTGTACCACTCCCTGCCAGACCTCACACTGACAGCTGCCCACACGGTGAAACCATGCATCTTACCATGCGGGCTAGTGTGAACCAGTCCCTTTTTTCATATAACATAAAAAATGGTCAGCAGGAAATCCTGAGCCAAGGCCAGCTGTGTCCTGCAGAAGTGAGAGAGATCTTATTTCTGCTCCTAGAATAAATGAAGACGGGAAGGGGGAATAAATCTCCCTGCCTATCTTCAGCAATGTAACCAGACTATATTAGCACACTACGAGACCACCAAGATTAAAAGAAAATTTAATTTATTAAAAAATCATTAATATGTAACAGCACCAATACAAAAAGACAAACCTCAGGGCAACTAGCCCTGGGTAGTAAAAACATACAGAGTACCCTCAACTGGACTGAGTAGAATATAGAGCCTGAACTCCTATTCATCTCTATACAGACATATGTTGCAGCTTTCTACCTCTTTTGGCTTATATATATATATATACATATATATATATATATATATATATATATATATATATATATATATATATATATATATATATATATATATATATATATATATATATATATATTTTTTTTTTTTTTTTTTTTGGAACGGGGGGCTGACAGACCTGAGATACTTGATACATACTGATCCCCTCAACAGGTTTTAACCTCATTATTTATTTGTTGGCATCTCCCCTGTGGTGTTGAATATATTCATTGGGACTGGTCAGCATGGTGGCGTTGTTGTTATAATTTATAGCCACAGTGACCAGAAAACCTCAGTAAGAGGAGCCACCGTTTTAATCTTTAATAAATAACCAAGAAGTATTTTTATGCGATGCCTTGGTTCCATTGTATGTGAGATATTTGTAGTGCAAGGCTATCACTTTCTTGATTTTTTTGTTTAACATTGAACCTCTTTTTGAGTGGAGTGAGAGTGATTGATACACACCTTGTAATCACTCAACTTGTTTATTGGCCAACACATACAATAGTTCCACCATTTATCGCAATCAATAAATGTTAGGTTATTTTCCCTTCCTGTGGCTTTGGTGCATGGGTATGCGCACCCCTCCTTTTTCTTTTAATACATGTGCATGCTATGTAAAGGGAAATTTTATCTATAAAACAGGCAAGAGATTAGGTAACCGTACAAGGAATTGACAAAGATTGGAGCTGTTTTGCATGACAAACCAACCGGCTTCTAGCTTTCATTTTCAAAGTTTACCTGGACAAGATGAAATTAGAAGTTGATTGGTTACTGTGCACAGCTGTTCTAGATTCTGTCTGTCTGCACCAGTATTAGTAAATCCCCCCCAGTGCATGGCTGGAGCTGGTGTTTTCATATGAACACCGGGGAGATTTACTAAAACTGGAGCACTCAGAATCTGGTACAGCTGTGCAGCCAATCAGCTTCTAACTTCAGCTCATTCAATTAAGCTGGTTGATTTCTATGCAGAGTTGCCCCAGATTTTGCTCGCTCTAGTTTTAGTAAATCAACCCCACAGTGTAGGAAAGCTGCTGAGGAGGAACGGTTTCTAAGAGACCTGTAGAGGAGAGACTATTCCACACTCAGTGGTAGCTTTTCTTTACTTTTTTTGTTCAGGTCTACATTAGGCTGTCAAAATGAAAACATTTAGCATTATTATTTTAACATAGCAGTTTCATCATTTTTTGGACTTGTTCATCAAAATACTGTTATACATTTCCCCCCCAGATGTTCTTTGAAGATCACATAGATGATGCAAAATATTGTGGTCACTTGTATGGCCTGGGATCTGGATCATCATATGTTCAGAATGGCACAGGGAATGCTTATGAAGAGGAAGCCAACAAGCAATCATGACCTCCAAAGGACAACTAGCACTTTTCATTGCCAAGCTCTATTCCTTTCTCCATGTTTTATCTCTGGTCACATTGGTTGGACATCTACTCGCTCATCTCTCAACAGCATTTACAGTATTTCCTGTACCCATACAGAACCACCTAGCCCTGAAACAGCCTGGTGGCTTAATTTGATTAGATCCATAGCCATCATTCTTCCACTGCCTGCCCCAGAAGTTTTTATGAAGGTGATAAACTTAGCCCTGTGGGGATCGGGGTTGGAACCTTCTGAGCATCTTCACAGGACTTCAGGCAATGTAATAGATGTCAGGTGATCATTTTTCCACCTTTTTTTGCTCTTAAGGTGGCTGAAGAGCATTGCAGGTCTTGTTGATCTTTTGATGTCACTTTACCAGCTTTTCACATCTTCAGATTTTTGTGCGCTCTGTCTACCAGACTTATGGAGCAAATGTTGCACCAATCCGAAGGGCGTAATTGGGTGCATTATTAAAAGCTCTAAAATGTATGTGTATAGTGCAAATGAGGAACCAGCACATAAAACTATGAGATAAATCTCCCTTCAGGTTGACAGCTGAATGTAAAGCTGCTAGCTTTTTCAAGCAAAAAAAACATCCAGCCTCTCCCAGTTTTTTTTCTTGCACACGTATGAATCTCAACACTCGACTTTTATCCCTAAATCCGTGTTTACAGTCACCATTTTTATTTTTATGGAATTATATTTATTAAGAGCTTAATTTTGGATCTCCAAAATGAATTGCTGGAAAATTAAATGGCCTGATAGAAATATTTAAAAAAAAGTACAATCAAACAGTTCAGCAAGTGAAATCAAAACCGTAACTGCAATGGATCTGATGAGGATAATACAATACACCTTTTTGTATTGCTACAGAAATGTAATTTTTTGTTGAAACAACAAAAACTAAGATTATGTTTGTGGATGGGCATTGATCAGCATACCAGCTGTTGATGAATTATAGTGACTATGATGTTACTCAGTCTATTGTTAGCCTTATGGAAGAAGGTGAATAGAAAACCTCAAAGGTTCCAGCAATCACCTCTTCTGAGGGTGATTGATCAACATTGCAGGTCTTGTTGATGCTTTTGTTCCTTTTGACAGTATCTTTTCAATATATATTTTTTATATTGTCAGAGAAGATGTGAAATTATCTTTCATGGCCCTCCCATTCAAATGCTGTCATTAGATTTCTTTTCGAGTGGGTTAATGATGCAATCTTATTTCCTTACAAAATTACATGTGTGTTTTTATCCACACACTGTTGACCCCTGTACAATACATGGAAAGTTGTCATTCAGAACTACTTACCTTTATACTTTGTAATAACTTGATTTTTTTTTTCTTTCCAGATAAGTTACAGCGTTGTAACGGTGTGATCCTTTTTAATGCATATAAAAAAAAAAAGAAAAAAAAATGTTTGCAAACAAAGGATATTTGTTTTTAGAGCTTTTGTAAATAAAGGCTTAAAAGATATTGGTATGTGGTCAGAATCCTTTCCGACTACGAACTGAGCAGTGGTCAGAGACTACTAGACGTTGTCACGCAGGTGTTTATTCTCCTTATTACTAACTTACACCTCTCCTTTGTACCTAGTGCAGGATGTGTTTGTTCCGCTTTCTTCATTTCCATCCAAGCAGGAATTTCTGCAGTTGTTAGTATGCTGGCACAATATACAGTATGTGAATGTTTTATAAAAGGTACACAAAAATTATAAATCTGTGTTTTCTGTATATGACATCTGACACCATAACCAATTATAGAGAATGGTCTATTTTTGGTTTAACATGATACCACCATTGTCCATACACACTCTTTTTAAAGCAGATGATGAGCAGATGCAGGCCGGATTGTTTGTTCACACCAGAACTGACACATAGAGATTACTGTTCAGCTAATGCTTATATAGTCATTTTCCATCTGTGTAATTTAGCATTTTGCATAAATGTGTGCTGCCCCACTCCAAGGGAGCATTTTTCCTTTCCCTGGAGTTTAGCTTTGAGCTACGGTTTGACAATGGGTTTTATTCAGTCACCTTCAGGTGAAACACTGACAAAGTTGTTGGGACTGCCCATACAACCAGCAGTCCTCATTTTTTCCTAGTATCCTTAGGTGATGGATGACTGATAGCAGGTTCTGGCTTGTAATCCTGATATTACTGTAAGATTGAACAATTGGTTCTACACATACAGAATTCCCTTCACCCCCTGGCTAGTGTACATTGACACCATTGTTACATATGATTGCAGCTTCTGGATTGATCACCCCTCAGCAGTGCCTTGGAGAACCATACCCAGGCCCCACCACATGGACCAGCCTTTGTCACTGGACTTGGTACAGCAGAGCAATGCTGTGAAGTTAGCTGCAGAGTGCTCTATGGGTTCAAGGCCCATGGCAGTCTGCATTTAGGTAGTTCCATCCCTGAAGACTTCTTCAATGAAGGAGAGAGCATGCTCTCCAGAAGCCACTTGGTGGGTTCTCCCCTGGGAGGGAGCCAGTCCACTGGTGGGGTGAGCCCAGCCTGGTGGTGGTCTCAGGACACATGGGGGTGATTGGTGAAAGTACCTTAGATTAGGTGTAGTGTGTCCCAGAGATGCTGCAACACTTCTAAATAATCTGTTAGGGCCATTACTTAGCTTGCACCACTTTAAACAGTTTGTCATGGTCATAGCATGTGATACTTTCCGTAAGCTAAGGTGATTTTAACAACTAGGCATAGTCCTGCTCTCTGTAGGAGGTTCTCACCTGCACTGTGGATGCTGTAACATTGCTCTGTTATAGACAGGCACACTACTGCTCCAGCTGCTACGCTGCTCCAGAGTTTTTGGAACAGGTCACATCAGGCTTCAACAGGTTTTTCAGCAGTTTCTAGTCATGGGACACAGGACAGCTGCACTCCTTCTGCTTCACAGCAAAAGTCTTTCACTGATTTAGGTTGTGGGTACATCCTAGGGGTTCCCCTGTCCCTCATAGAAGACACACAGACAAAAGAAGATCAACATACACTGTATGCAGGGCCATAATGAGGTTTTCAGGTTTCCTCTCAAAACTCTGCATCTGAGGCTTTGGACATCATTCTCCACACCTTGGAGTCTCCTCTTAACCCCTGTCTCCTCATTTCTTTTTTTTTTTTTAAATAGACATTTTCAGCCTCTATAGCAGACCTGATAGAGAAAGTATTTGATAGAAACTGGGGACACGTTAGTAGTAAGCGCCTACAGTCAATGTCTCCTACTGAGTCATTGTCCGAGCGGTGCTCAGTGTGATGGATGCTAGCCTGCTGGGTCGGGGGAGTGTCCTAGGGACAAAAACAGTACAAGCGATATTATACAAATGTAAAAAAACAGATTGAACAGCACTTGGACAACACCACAGCCATGGCTTACAGCAATTATCAAGGCCGCACCAGAAGATTTGAGAAGTGAATCCAATTATGACTTGGATCAAATGGCACAGTGTAGCCTTGTCCACATTCACAAACTCAGACCTTCTCAGTCAACGCCTGGATGCAGGGGGGTTGTCTCTTCACCTTGAGGTGTTTGGAGACATCTGACTCTGCTGGTGGACAATGGGCATAGATTTGTTTGCATCCCACTTATAAGGTAGACAGGTTTGTGTCTCGGATCAGCAATCCAAAGGCCTTTGCCTTGGATTGGGGAACCCATGGGATCAGTTCTGGCTGATATGAGAGTTTACACCAACTAGAGACGGGAAGGAACAAACCAGATAGAAACCTTTGCTCTAACCCAAATGTGTATCAAAAACCATATACACTATATTGCCAAAAGTATTGGGATGCCTTTCTTTACACATGAACAAAAGAATTTTCATTTTTTTCCAGAAATAAAAAAACGAGAAAAAACTTATTTTTTTCCCCCCATGGCTTCAAAATTCATGGAAATTTTACAGCTCTACCCACAACTGATTCTTTTTCTGCCGCTTTGCAGAATTGAAATGGATGGCATTCTGGTGATCTTAGGGGCATACAATTGTCCCAGAAAGACTTGGTACCTGGATATTCTCCAGCTCCTTGAAGATACAACATTCACACTTACAGACTGGTCAGACCTGCTGTATCATGGGCTGGACGTCCTGCTTCATAGTTGCTGGCTTTGATGGCTTGGCTGCTATCATCGCACTTGGAAGGCATACTTTGCATGGTGTGCAGCAGAATTTTCACCCAAGAAAATACTAAGTGGGATGTATTTTGTCAATTCTCCAATCTGGGCTGGGACTACATTTAGCCTTAAACACTCTAAACAGTCAAGTCTCATCATTTGCCATTCTCTTTAGAGATTGCTGGACTCTTATTCTCTGATAAAGACATTTGTTCAGGGGGTGGCTCACATTGCTCCCCGTTTTACATTTTATCTTTCCTTGGGATCTCAGATCTGGCAAATTATCACTGTAAGGCTCCATGCACACTAACTTAAAAAACCGCCAATATGCTCTTGACAGAACAAAATGCAAATTTTTTTTGTGTTTTTGTACTAGCGCTTAGGTGTGTTTTAGTGGGTTTTTTTTCTGTCGGAAAACTGCTCTCAAAAATGCAAAACAGAAGGGGGTTTTTTTTTCTGCTTTTAAATGCGGAGCTTAAAATATGCCTTGAAACGTCCTAATGTCGTAATGTAGATGGACACATAGGATAACATCTACAGGTAAACTCTAGAAGCAGCGTATTTTAAGCCAGTGTGCATGGACCTTTAAGATTCACTTGACTTATTCAGTCGGTTCCTCTTGGGCTTTCTCTTGTCTGTGAGGTTTTACCAGGTAGATGTTCAGGCCTCTGTTGACATCAGCTTCGGCCATAATATACGTCAAGATCCTGCAAACCTAATTTCCTTTGGCCTGTTGGCATTGTTTGCTGTGTTGCCCACCCTTCAGTTGTATTGCTTAAAGAACAGCACAGGACATAGACCACCCTCCCCTCTGTCCTGGAGCTTTCCTCTGATTGCTTGCCAAAAAATGAGGTTTGCTGGCAGGGAAAG